ACATGTTGGCAGGAGCAAAGATGCCTTCCCCATCCATCTTTTGCTTTTTAGCATCAATTGATGATTCTTACCTGAGTCAGTTCTGTCCTTGGGGTTACTAAATCATGATTTTCATTAGTTTTCACCTGTCATTTTTCAGGGTATAATTTGAAGTTCCTAAAAAGGGGGAAATCGTGCGTTTTCCCTTACTTATTACTTCTCAGAGTAAAGAATTGGTTTAATAGTCACCGTCACCATCAGGCTGGCAAGTGAGCCTCCCTCCCTTGTCTTTGTCTTTTTTCAATCTCACAGACCTGAGGTTTTTATCCATTCGTTGTCTTACAATCAGTTATAGGCATTATGCTTTTTGATGTTCAAATTCCACAATTTGTTAATGGCGGCCCGTGCAAACTGGCTTTTGTGCCCTTTTGACTTGATCCTATTTTTCTTTCCATGTGTCCATTTTGAGTCATAAAGATGTTCCAAATGGAACTTCGCACTTTCTGTGTCCCAGCCCTGGAATCACCTGCTTCTCCAAGGAGGCCTGCTTCTTTTCAGTGGGGACAAGAAGGCCTTGGTACTATTTTTCCGATGAATTTACAACTCTGCTAATTTGTTTATTACCTAGATTTTTGCTTGTTAAACTAGTACATAAAAGAGCAAGAATATACTTTAAGCAAACAACAGGTAGAATATATTCTCAATATGATTTCAAACTTTTAATATGAAAATGTGTAAACAAGAAAATGTCTGGAGCACTTATTTCAAAGGGCTCATTCTGGTGATATCTTTGTGGGGGTTTTAGACATTTTGGTCAATTTACTAGTAATTTTTAAGAGAATATAAACAATAAAGAAAATCAGGGCTGAGTTACTGTTTTCTAAAACTAATCTATAGAGCTGTACATATGAATAACAAGTTAGAATAGAACCACGTAGAGCCACTTGATGAGTATGTGGTGAAGCCAATGGAACCAAGTAAAATTAAAACAAAAATCCATTCTGTGGTTTAGAAAACATCAGTGAAACATGCTTTTTCAGGAGTGTTGAACCTGAATTCTAGGAAAGCTACATAGAATTAAGATACCCTACAAAAAGATGCTGGAAACCTATTGAATACTTTTCTAGTTTGCTTGAATCTTGTATTACCCTTCTGAATCTGGAATTTGTACAAAAATCTGAAAGCTACATAAACAGTAAGCAAATCCCAAATGGGCTTGTTCGTTGTCTAGAAAACCATGGTAGTAAAACAGTCAAGTGAACTAAAACAACTGTATGGAGTGATGGAGAAAACTAAAGTAGATGAAGACAATTAGTAACCTCTTAATCAAGAATTCTTTGAGAATTAAAAAATTTGGAATTTATATTGTATATTACCACATTCCAGATTGAAAATACTCAGTCCTTTATTAGTGGTGGTATAATATTCTGCATGCTTTATTTCTGAAGATTTGGGTTCTAAATCACTTAAGTTGATGTCAACCAGAAAGCAATTTTTAATATCACAATTTGTTGTATATCCTTTATTATTTAGTAAGAATGTTTAGGTAGCTCAATCTATTGTGGACATATTGTGAATTCCAATTGTAAATACCAAACTCAAGTTTGCCATCAAGTTGACTCCAACTCATAGCAAGCCTACAGAACAGGGTAGAACTGTACCCTGTGTGTTTCTGAGACTGTAACTCTTTACCGGAGTAGACAGCCTCATCTGTATCTTGCAGACTGGCTGGTAGTTTTGAACTACTGGGACTCCGGGTGGCAGCCCAATGCATAATCACTATGCCACCAACGCTAGCTTAGTGAAAATTTACAGTAGAGGTTTAAGATCAGTCAGTGCTCAGAATTTTCTTTTTATATATTTAAGGAAAAAGTATTGCTAAGAACTATTTGCTATTTTAACAATTTTTAACAGAAAATTCAGGGCCTTTATCACTTTTAACAGAGACTTAAGACACTTTAATAAGAACCTCTTTTAAGTTAAATGAAATAAGACTAAAACGAAACTACAAACATTCTTCTTTAGAAAAACCGTGATGTGAGCTAATGTGATTGCTAAATACAGTTTTGACTATATTGTTTGCTTTTCAAGGATTTGACTTTAATTTTCCCCCTTCAAAATTGAAATGAGGTTCAGCTCTTTTAATTATTTGGTATTAAGGTAAGGAGTAATTCCAGAATACTATTTTCAGTTTTACTTTCTTAAGCCACCAGTGCATATTTTGAATGTTGAAATGGAAGTTGACGAAACGTGTCAAGGGGTTGTCTTCATCTTCAACATGGACACAGCAGCTTCTGGGTGGCACAGGGGTGTGAGTTGTCAGCAGTTTGATGGCAGTGAGGGGAAAATGTCATGGGATTCTTGCATCTTTTGAGAAATTTTTCCCATTGTCTCCCCCCTCCCCTTGTCTTTTCTGTGAAGGGAATAAGTAGATTTGCAGAAACTCTTAGCACCGTGAAGAAGAACAGTGCTTACGACACAGTTATTGTTGTAATAGCATCCAGTCGATTCTGACCGGTGGTGAGACAGGGCCAGAAAGATGGTGCTTCTCTCACTCCCCACACACCAAGTTCAGATGATTTTGAGGTATCTTCCCAGATCCATACCTATAGGCTCACTTACCTGCACCCAGTTAACATTTAAATTGTGGCGTATTACAGTAAGTGACCACATTTTCCATTTCTTACCACCTGTATCCTATATTTTTCTTCCCGTAAGAATAATGTGTTTTAATTTCACTCCCTGATCTACAGCATTCAGCATTTGGCCAGCTCAGAGTTAACACTAGAGCAGGAATAGACCAGACAGACACCTTTGACTTCAGTTGAACCCAAGAGCAAAGAGCACCTGGGTATGGGGGACTCTAACCCAAGGACAAGTAGTCGCCAGGTGCTTGCACAACATCTCCAAAGAAGTAATGATACTCTACCCACCCAGAAGCCTTTGCAAGAGTCCGAATTTTGAACAGCTGTTGCATGCTCACTGACTTACCAAAGCCCCACCTATGTGAACTCAATTTCTAGAATTCTCCATCCCTTTCGTGAATAAACATAATCCCCTTCTTGAACCTTCCTTTTAAAAATTCCTCCTTTTCCTTTGTTTGGTAAGATGGTGTCTTTCAGTAGATTTAGACCCCTCCATGTCTCCCCTGGCAAGATGCTTCTCTATATAATAAGCTTTTTCACTGCTCCCCTTACAAGGTATTTCTCTCTAATAATAGTTTGCCTTGTGGGGTAAGCATGGGTTTTTGCTTTCTTAATCTCACCTAGCAGGGAAAACCCTGCACTTGAAAGCTTGCTGTGGCAACAATAGCAACGCTACGGGACAGAATTCAAGTACCACATAGGATCATAAAGGTTCTCAACTTTGCAGAAGACAGGTGAGGTAGTCTGCTTTTGAAAGGATTAACGCCTGTAAACCCTATGGAACTGCTGAATTCTGTCCTATAGGTTGCTGTGAGTTGAATTCAACTTAAAGGGTGGCAGTTAATCGGGTCTTTTCTTCCTTAGAGCTGCAGGTGAGTTTGAATCGCCAAACTGTTGGTTAGCAGCCGAGTGCTTAAATATTGTGCCACCAGGGCCCTTTTTTACACACACACCTATGAGTCAATGTTGACTCCTAGTGACGCCATGGGATAGGGTGAGACTGCCACTGCGGGTTTCTGAGACTAACTCTCAGTGGGAGGAGAAAGCCACATCTTTCTCCCTCTGGGTAGCTGATGGTTTGGAACTGCCAACCTTTTGGTTTGCAGCCCAATGTATAACCACTATGTCACCAGGGCTCCTCTTTTAGGGTACAGTTCCTAGTAAGTACCGTAATGTATCAGAAATGAAACAAATCTCACAGCTGGGAACAGTTCTGCAAAATTTGTATTACTTAAATAATACCACTAGGTGGTAGTGCTGTACCATGAAACGAGAGTCTGCCCTTTCTGGACTGACCTCGGTAATAGTCCATAAGTCTTATTAATGAATTATTTGTAATTTTGTCATTTGATTGCGCGATTGGATCCATCAGTGAAAATATACCTAAGTAAAAGACATTTGGTTAAAAATTCTGTAAAATAGTCAACGAGATAACATGTATAAAACTTTAAGCACACTGAAGTTGGCTCCCCTTTCTCCTTTTTTGTGTTGAAAAGCTTCATTTAATTTCTATTTCTGCTGAAATGTTTTGCCATACGTTTACTAATACATTATCACAGAAGGTTAAATGATATCAATCTCTTTTTAGTTGTCAAAAGATTTTAAAAATGGATAGCCTTACGTTTTATTATAACTTTCTTACACACACAGAAAATGTTTGTTTTGTTTTTAGCTTCCATGTTTCTTTTAATATTTCGATTATTAAGCACAGAGCCCTTTATTTAGACATTTGCACACATACAGTGAACCCTCGTTTATCGCGGTTAATCGGTTCTAGACCCTACCGTGATAAATGAAATTCCGCCAAGTAGGATTCCTTATTTGTAAATCAAATATTTTCGTAGTTAGAGCATAGAGGACATGAAAAAACACCCTTTTGTCACCATTACACTCGTATTACCCAATTTATTAAACGAAAAAGGGAAAATACAGTAAAACAGTTTGGACGTTACAATTATCATTTATTATTTATTATATTATTTATGGCATCAAGCGTGTACAGTATGAGCCAATCAGTGGCAGTAATGACAGAGCATGCGCTGTTATGCAAAAACCGCGATAGAGTGAAGCCGTGGAAGTCGAAGCGCGAAGTGGCGAGGGTTCACTGTAACGTGATCTTAATGTATAAATGAAGTCAGTCTATAACGTGTGTAGGTTTCGCCTATGTTGTAAAACCAGGCATTGAACATTTTGTTTTGCAGCTTGGACTTCCTTCGCTTCCCTTTAAAAAAATTGACTTTGAATATTTCAATTCTGTCCCTCAGACTGAAGTGAAATCAGAAGAGAGTCCAGGATGGAACATCCTGCGAGACGATTTCATGCTGGGAGCATCTATGAAAGACTGGGACAAGGAAAGCGAGGGATCGGATGGCAGCTGACCGGCATCTGCACGTGAAACTGGCACGTGGCGTTAGAAAGGCCAGAACACATGGAATTGTTCTCTTTCCTAGAAAAGTGTTTCATGCTCTGCAAGTTGAGAACTTGTAAGAATACCATTTATAAGAAAACCTAGACGTTTTATTAACTTTAGTTATTTCCTGTTTTTACATTAAACTTTGTGTACTAAAATATCAACGATATTTCACCAGTGTCATTACAAGTTTACGTATTGGTAATGGGCATCGGTGTATTGTTTGGATATCACCATTGTTTCTAGAAATGACAATACCAATTCATAATTAAAGTGACGTATTTAAAGTTATTATTTCTGTGCCTTCCATTTTGTAGGTCTGTAGTTTAAAGGATATTTGTGGGTGAGTTGTTTTATTTGAGTGTGTGACTACTAAGAAAACCTAACTAATAACATTTAAAGTTTGAGTGATTAGCAAGTATAATATAAATACTCTGGATGTCTAATTTTCATTTATATATTCTTAAGTGACTTAAGTCATTACGAATAAAATGGGAAAAATATTTTTTTCAATGTTAGCTTATTTTTGCATAAGAAGTTTACTGGACTGAAAACTCTTATATTTAAGTTATGAAATGCGACATTGTGTGTGTGTGTGTGTGTGTGTGTGTGTGTGTAAAGGGTTTTAATTTTAATTTTGGTAAACTCAGCAGAAGCATTAAAAACCTCATCAATGAACTCAGCCAGAAGTATTATCTATGTTTTTAATTATGGAAGTTAATGTTCACTTCAGAGTATTATATGTATATATATTATATATATATATATATATATACACACACACACACACA